TATTACATTATTTATTTTATTGCTTAAATTGTTCCAGGTTTGGCCTTTGAGAGCTTTTCCTGGTTGTTCTTGTGTGTCCCTTTGACATGTCCACATCCTTTTGTTTTTTGAGCACTTCCTTGCTGTATTTTCATTTTGTTTGTTTTCTGTAACATGCTATTATTGCCTCTAAATTTATTTTCTGAGCCTGTTTGTCAGGAGAAGATTTTTAATTTCTATTCAACTGGGGACTCTAATTCTAACATTTATTATTTATTTCTAAGTTTACTGTACTGTGTACTATGGTATGTCAAATTTCTGTATTTTACTTACTAAGAGCATTTTGTATTCAAATGCACAAATAGTAGTTTTGAATGATTCATGTGCACTTCAAAAGAAAATGTACTTCTTTGTCCTATTCATTATGTTCTTATCACTTGACAGGCTAATCTACATTAGTTATTGTGTTATTCAGCTCCATGCTTTTAAAAATCAGTTTTTTACTTGATTTGTCATATTCTGATAGCAGAGTATTGAGGTCTCCAATCACATTATACAGCAGACCCTTGGAATACATCACAAAGCATGCATCCAGAGACCATATGATTTCCATGCACAAATGCAGTAAAGATATAACTGAAAATTTCAAGCTTCTTCTTCACACCCTTCATGCAGTAAACCATGAGTAGAGGGTGCCAAAGACAAGTTTACATTTTCATACACTTTAGTTCATTCACTAGCTAAGTCACTTGTCTTAGCAGAATTAGAAACTGTCCACATGTCATGGACCTTCTGGATTCATTTGCTCAGCAATCATTTCTTTTTAAAAAGATTTTATTTATTTATTTTTGGAGAGAGGGGGAGGGAGACATAGAGAGAAACATCAATGTGTGGTTGCCTCTCAAGCACCACCTACTGGGGATCTGACCTGTAACCCAGGCATGTGCCCTGACTGGGAATTGAACCAGTGACCCTTTGGTTCACAGGCCAGCACTCATCCATTGAACCACACCAGCCAGGACTCAACAGTCATTTCCTAAGCAGCCATAATTAGCCAGGCACTAGGCTAAGGGGTTGAGAGAGAGAGAACTGAGACACTCATAGCCCCTGTGCTTATGGGGCTTCAGTGTAGTGATAGTTGAAGCTACATGAAATCTGTACATTCCAAAGTTCTACTCTGTGTTTAGTAGAGTAAACTTCTTTTGAAGATTTTATTTACTTATTTTTAGAGAGAGAGAAAGAGAGGGAGAGAAACATCAATGTGAGAGTGAAACACTGATTGGTTGCCTTTCACACACCCCCAGCTGGGGACCTGGCCCACAACCCAGGCATGTGCCCCAACTGGGAATCAAATTGGTGACCTTACAGTTCACAGCATGATGCCCAATGCACTGAGCCACACCAGTTAGGTCTCTTCAGACTTCTTTTTTCAGTCTTTTACCTATGTATTTTTGTGCTATCTTACTTAGCTTATTAGACTTTCATTGAATAGAATACTTTTGATTCACATGCCCTTACATTATCTTTTTAGTACCTTTCTTCTACAAAACCCCTTCTTTCTTTCCTGGAAATACACATATATTAAGTAGCTCTCACATGCCAGGCACTGCTTTAAACATTTGGAATGTTGTGACAAGTAAGTTATAGTTTTTATTCTCAAGAGGCTTTTAAACAAGTAGAAGAAAATAATTATTCTGTAATATAATATGTTAAGTACAATAAAAGAGCCAGCAAAAGATTATGAAAGAATGGAGGAAGGGGGTGTTAATTCTGCCTGGTGAAGGCTTCACTTGAGAAGGTGATATTTCATGTGGGCTTAAAGATGAATAGGCTTTATCATGTAGAGAAAACATGTTTCAAAGGAAAAAAGAAAAGTGAAAATGTTCAGAAAACATGAAGTAGTCCAGTGTATTACTTTAGACCATGGTAAGGAGGTAAGGAGTGATCAAAGATGGGCCAGAGGAGGGTCTTTGCTGGCCTTTATGATGTATGAGGAGGCAGTGAACTTCTGGCTGATAGTCTGGGTCCAAGGACAGTGACTAAGTACAGCTCTTCCCTCTGTAGGTCTGCTTTCTGGATACCCCTCAAGTGCTATCCAGTGTAAGTCTGCTCACTTTCTGCCCCCTGTGATCACCTCAGATGGACCCCTGGCTATTTGGTCCCCTAGGGTCACCATCCTGGCTACTCTTTGGAAATACTCTTTCCTGCCTTCACATTCTATAATTAAGTCCTACTGATTAGTGCCCTTGATGATCAGCATGTATAAAGTCACGTAATAACCACAGTATGGAACAAAACCTTAGAGTATCTTAAAAATATTCAGAAGGAGAGGGAGAGTGATGGAGGATATGAGGTTGCATTGTAGGGGAGAGGGGGAGGGTGGGGAGAAAAGACATAGAGGAGTGAATGTTTGAGAAGCAAGTAGCTGATGGTAATAAGAACACAAGGGACTTTTGCTCAAGATGGCAGCATAGGTAAATGAAGTACTCACATCCTCCCACAACCATATCAAAATCACAACTAAACCACAGAACAACCATCATCCAAAGTCACCTGAAATCTAGCTGAACAGAAGTCCTATAACTAAGGATATAAAGAAGAAGGTAGGAGAGGCAGAAACGCTTAAAATGCAGGTCCCACACTAACCTGTTGCAGAAAAAATCAGGAGAGATATCTCAGCTGCAGAGGTCCACCTCTGAGGAGCAAGGGGTCCCAGCCCCACACCAGGCACCCTGTTCCTGGGTTCCTGTGTTGGGAAGAGAAGTCTCCATAACTTCTGGCTGTTAAAACCAGTAGGGATTGAGGCTGAGGAAGACAAAAACTTCTGGAGTCCCAGGCAGTTCCTCTTAAAGAGCCCAAACACAGACTTACTCAGACTCACTCCCTCTGAGCTCCACCGCTGAAGTGTCCTGCATCAGGGCAAGAGTGGTGAGGGGGGCATCTTTCTCCCAGACAGAAATGCTGGCAGAGGCCATTGTTGCTTTGATGAACCTTCCCTCCACAGAGACGGCAAGCAGTCGCCACCAAACCTGGTTCACACCATTTGCCCAGCCCTGTGGTGCTTTCCTGAGACCTTTTCCCACCCAACATGTGAGCCCACACAAGCTGTTTCCAGTTCCTTTACCATGTGAATGGCCTATCTTGGCTCATGCTTCAGACTTTCCTAAAAATCTCTCAAATAAGCAACACCTGGCCTCAATGAGCCCCCATACCTCTCATTAAGTGGCCCCAGGCCTGGCACTAGCGGCGGCTAGCTATTTTACAGCTTTCTTTACAAAAATGTCTATTCAGGTCCTCTGCCCCATTTTTAAATCGAACGATTTGTTTGTTTGTTTTGCTATTGAGTTGTATGAGTTTCTAGATAGCCTTTTAACATTTGTTCCTTTACGTTTTTTATTATTTCATTTTATTTAAAAAATTTCCTTTTCGTATTTTTAAATGGGTCTTTTGTTGATTGCCTTGTGAAAGAAGAGACATCTGTGGGGTGGAAGGAAGTAGAAGAGGGTAAAGGGGGAGAAAATGGTGACAGAAGGAGAGTTGACTTGAGGTGGTGAACACACACCACACTATATAGGTAATGTATCATAGAATTATACCCCTGAAACCTATATAATTTATAAACCAATGTCACCCAAATAAGTTGAATAAAAATAAAAAATAAGAGATATCTGTGTTTTTATTTACTCTTTGAAAACTCCCAGAATACAACTTAAAAAATTTTTAAACAAAGCTTAGTAAGCATTTAGAATATAGATATAAAGTGGGCCCCCCATAGTAGAACTCCTAGGAAGGTAGAAAATATCTTGAGATGATGGTGTTAGAAGACCAACACCACCAAGAGGACAAAGTGACCTATGTGGAATACCCGTCAAACTAAAAAGAAACCCTAAGTAAGATGCCTTTGATCTATCTGAAAGGCCTGCTTGTTAGCTGAGTGGGGTGAACATAAGGTAAGCCTTTGTATTTGGAGACAGCAGGTTACCTCACAAAAAACTGCACATGAATGTTTACAGCAGCATTATTCATAATAGCCAAAAAGTGGAAACAACCTCCAAATCAATCAACTGGTGAATGAAAAAAAAATGTGATGTATACATACAATGAAATATTATTCAGCCATAAAAAGAAATTGGATGAATCTGGAAAACATTATGCTAAGAGAAAGAAGCCATTCATAAAAGACCACCTATTCTATGCTTCCATTTATATGACATGTCCAGAATGGGCAAATCCAAAGAGACAGAAAGTGGATTAGTTGTTGCCAGGGTCTGGGGACGTGGGGAAATGGGGAATGACTGGTAATTTGAACTGGGTTTCTTTAGGGGGGGTTTCTGAAAAATGCTCTAAAATCAGAGAGTGGTCGTGCTTGCACAATGCTGTGCCTATACTAAATGCTACTGAATTTTACACTGTAAATGAGTTAAATTTATGGTATGCAAAATAGATGTCAATTTTTAAATGTGTTGACATAGCAACAACAGCAACTAGAGTGGCAGGTACTTGGGTTGTTTGGCTATCTTTTGACCCCTCCAGGACCTGGCCCATTGGGTTCAGAGAGGAGATGCCAGTAGGGAGGCCAGCAGGGAGCATGCCTGTCTGGGCCTGAGGGGCCTCAGGATGTCTCCATCTGAGGAATGCTCCCTCTGAGTAAAGCCCTTCAGGGACAGCAACCACAAGGACGCTGTGGCAAGGAAGGAATTCCTGATGCTGTGTCCAACCACACACTATCCTTTCTTCACCTCCCTTCTCCCCCTTTTGGGTAGTAGCAAATGAGTCTCCTCTTCCAGGCACTCTCTCTTTTTGTTTTTGTTTTTGTTCTCATTTATTTTTTGTTTTTAGAAAGAGGGGAAGGGAGGGAGAGAAACATCAAGGTGAGAGAGAGAGAAACTTCAATTGGCTGCCTTCTGCACGTGCTCCAACTGAACACCCTGCCTGCAGCCCAGGCATGTGCCCACACCAGGAATCCAACTAGCGACCTTTCCCTTTGTGGGACAATGCCCAAGCCACTGAGCCACATCAGCCAGGGCTCAGGAACTCTGTCTTGGGCACACAGCCTCTTCAATCACAAGAAAAGCAGCTTTTGGGTCTCTGATAAGCCATGCTTGGTCTTGTGCTGGTCAAACAGTTTCTGCAGGGCTTCCATATAGAGTGCGTGGTACTTGTCCACCACCTCTTGGCTTGGCTTCTCAATCTTGGGCACTGGCAGAGGCTCCCCGACTGCCATGTGAGATGCCATGGGAGATGCCAAAGGAGAAAGAGTGAGCATTAAACTCTTGTGTTCCATTAACCTCCTTCTCTTTTCTTCCCACTCCCCACCCTGGGCCTGATCCTTTCAGGTACCAAATCAACTCTCAGCATCTCCCCTCCCACTTGCCCTCTTCTTTGTTGGGGGCAGGGTGGGCAGGGCTGAGGTGGAAGCTGAGAAAGAGCTGAGGTGGACTTGGGCTGAGAGCAGCACTCACCCACAGTGGTGACAGGCAGTGGGTATGGCAGGAGCCCAGTAGAGCCTCTAGGGAAGCCTCGCCCATAGAAGACACAAAAATAGAAACCAAAGATACGGCGGAACCAGCTCTGGAACTTAAACATCTTGCTGTCCTGATGGAACACCACCTGATTGAATACGTCGGTTTCTCCAAAAGTGAAGGTAGGGACTAGATGAGTCCTGTAAGAAAGCCTGGATTTATTTCCCAAACACAGGCCAGATGGAAACCACCCAGGAATAACGTGTGTTTGTGGTCAGGACCCCATCCATTACAAAGTCCCTGTGGCATAAAGAATTTCTTCTTGCATTAAACAGGGCTCTCGTATTTTGTGTCTCTTGAACTAACAGTTCAAAGCCAATAAAATTGCTCTCTCTGGGCCAGGATCACAGGGGCAAGATATGGGGGTGCAGCAAAGGAAGAAGAGTTTGGGCAGGGATTCCCCAGAGACTCACTCACAGCTTGCAGGAAGCATCAGGGAGAGGAATAGCTGACTCTGTTCCTACTAGTAGGGAGCACAGAGAGGACAATAATTTTGCACGGATGTGTGTATATGATGCACCCCACATCCACAGGGACTATGCATGAGGTATTCTGTTCTTGGGTCTTGGGATTAGCACAGCAAAAATCATTCCTCTCTCATAGGCCACAGGAATTCAGCCTGACAGGGTCTTAGATAGGGAATGGGGCTCCTTAGGGCTTCTGGTGAGAGTTACTAATAACGATCTCCCAGCACCCTGATGTACGTGATCTTACTGGTTCCTCACAGTGGAGACAGCAGAGGACATGGAGGGGGTGAGTCCCTTTCTCATTCTTCAGACTCAGGCAGTCAGTGACTGGCAGGACCTGGACTGGCTTCCAGGACTCCTTCCTCTGCATTCATCACTCTCTCCCCTACATTTGCTCTGACTGATCAACAGACCACTAAGGCAAGGTCCTTAGAGGAAATGCTTCTCTCCTTTCTGAGTCTGTAGTAGGACAGCTGTCCCTGTATCCAATGAGCCGGCCTGCTGAGCTGATGAGACAGCCCAGAGCTCCAACGTTGGCCTCCTCCACCTTACTTTCTCTCCTTGCTCCTAAGTCGTTAGTGGCTAATTCTGTGTCAGGCACACGGTAGGTGTTTTATGCACAGAAATTCATTTAAATCCCACAATAACCCAATGAAGAAGGTATAATTATTAGTGGCAACATTGTAAGGATAAACATATGAAGTGTCAGGATGGTTTAGGAACCTGTCCCAGAGTGCATGGTAAGTCATGGAGCCAGGATTTTAAACCAGGCCCCTGACTCCAGATCCTAGTGCATACTGACCATACTGTACTGCCTCTTGCACTTAACATTCACAGACAGATGTAGATGTTGATATTAATAATGTAGGAGTCCTCTATATACTAGGGCAGCTCTAGCCAATTCCCCTGATAATGAATCTGGGTTTATAGTTTGGCTAGCTGGGAACTGGTCCAGTTAGCAAAGAAGGAGCAGTTGACTTAAATCTTTTTGAAATTATATAGTTATATCCCCTAGTCACTAGTTGGTTCAATGAGGGCAAGAGACATGTCTCATTTATCTTGGCATCACCTACCAGGGCATGCTGTTCAGAGAAGGCCACCCACCCCCACCCCGGGAGGAACACCTACCCATGTTGGAGGGCAGTGCGCACAAACCCCTTGCGCTTCTGGATGATGAGGGTGGTGGTGTTGGGCACACTTTGCAGGGCCTCGCCCACCCCTCCCACGACAATGCCCACGAGATTGCCAGTGCCGTGGCTCAGCAGGTAGTCAATGGCTGGCTGACTCACAGAACAAACACCTGAAACGAATCAAGAAGCAGAGACAGGAATAAAATGATCAGCAGAGGAGAAAGGACTGAGAGGGAACACCCTCTACGCTATTTCTCACTGGCCTGTTGGTGTATCCTCTGTTCCCATGGGTCTCAGGAGAAGAGGGAATGAGATGGGACAAAGGGTGTGGAGAAGAGAAGGCTGTGAGCAAATTGAACACATTTCACTGTGAGGCAGTATCTCCACTTTGCAGGAGGCACTGCTTGAAAGTACAGCAGGAAGGTGCCAGTGAGATAACCAGAAGGACTTTCTGGATTCCAGCTATAATACCACCCCTTTTCTTTTCCTTTATTGCTATTAATCTCCTGCCATAGAAGCACCTTTGGCCATGAGGTATTCCCTAATCAAGGGGATCTTGAAGAAGTAGGACAGCGTGGCCAAGTAGGGTGTGATGCCTGGGAAGATCTTCGAGAAGCCTGTGGCCTCAGTACAGAAGTTGCAGAAGGCGCCATAGGTCAAGAGGCCATGTGGGTGAACCCCCATTAGGTAGTTGTGCTCAGGTGACAAGTCTTTAGTCTTCACGATCTGTAGCCATGGAGAGAATTGACAGAGGAGGTGGAATGAGACCACATGGTCAGCAAAGATGGACACACTGCAGGAATCAGGGTGCTCTCTAAGCAAAGCTTTTCCATAGATAGGCCATGGGTGGGTTTTCAGGGGGCTGAGGTATAGGTCTCCTCAGCCCCTGAAAAATCACATAGAGCCTGGGGCAGCTGAACTCCTGGGTCTCTTGCCTATGGCTGCAAGGAGTCATTAGTGCACTCCATGAGTGGCATCATTTTCTCAGAGTGCTCTAAAGTGAAAAAGGTCAGCAAGCTCTGATCTCAAAATCAGGACGGTGTTTGTTGCCTGCTCCGAAGTGTGCTCAGAGGATCCGTGTAGTGGTACATTTCTAGAACCTCTCCCTGGTATCTTCTCCCCACCCCCAAACCCCATTTCAGTGCCCACTTAAGTAACTTTTATTGAACTTTGAAAGCTCTGCTTGCATATCACCGTGTCCATGGAGCCTTTCCTTACCCATCCTCTGAACTGCTTGTAGATCTTGTACCGAATCATAAATACAGGGCCTGGCACAAATAACACCCTTTTTTGTTACAAAATCTTTTCTTACAAAATCATAAGCATGTCATTCTGTAATATAACAATAGCACATTCAAGCACACCATAGGACATTTTATGTGAAATGTTCAAATTAAAACTCTAAATTATTACACCCATATTATTACCCTCCCAACCACACTCAAGCAGGTGTTACTTCTGCTCGACCCTGTATACACTTGCCTATCCTCCCCATTAGATGTGAGTTCTTTGATGGCAAAGGATGGTATTCTACTCACTTTTCTGTACCCCAAACATGTGGCATAGAATTTACTATCAGTCTGTGTTTGTTAAACTGAACAGAACTGCATTTGCGTTTCTGCCTATGTTATCTGCTAGGTCATTTCAAGAACATCCAAAGTGTCCTAGCATGAGTGCCCAGGAGCAATGCTGGATAATTAAGTGTGTCTAGTCCTGGCTGGTGTGGCTCAGTGGATTTAGTGCCAGCCTGTGAACCAAAGGGTCGCTGGTTCGATTCCCAGTCATGGCAAATGCCTAGGTTGCCGGCCACGTCCCCAGTAGGGGGCACACAAGAGACAACCACACATGGATGTTTCTCTCCTTTTCTTTCTCACTTCTTTCCCTTCTCTCAAATAAATAAATAAATAAATAAATAAATAAATAAGATCTTTAAAAAAAAGTATGTCTAGCCTACATTGAAACTTGTCTGGAATGCTCATTACCTTTATGGACAACCCTGGTCATTTAGCATAAATTCCTAGTGTTTGGGGAACCATGAAGGGACTCCAAGGAAGACACACTTACCGTGATGGGGAAATAGTCCCTGACATGAGTCCAGATATACCAGTTCCTTACCCAGGCAGATCGCCGTCCACCTGAGACAGGAATATCAGTAAGGATAGTGTCTGTGTGGGCCAACCCCACTCCTCCCACTCACCCAGGGCTTCCCTGCCAGCATGGAGGGACCATGGCTCTGCTAGAGAGATGGAAAAGGAGGAGATGCCAGGATGGCCCTGACTGGCCCAGCTCCTGTGACCGTGAGAAACTGGACAAGAGGCCTGTGGCACCGTGAGTACAACTCCCTAGCTACAGGTTAAGATGGAACATTCTTAGGTCTTATTCTTTCTAGGTCCATGAGTCTTACCTTGTTCTGGGGTCTTCCAGTCCAGGAAATACCAGACAAAGTAAAGGGTTGGTAGCAGCCATAACGATGTAAACATCAGGTAAATAAACAATGGGGTCATGATCCAAACTGATGAGGGAGCAAAGCAGATCAAATTTGTGCTGCCATCAGGACTTGACCACTTAATGGACCACTTACTACTCTTGTCCAGCCCTATTAAGAGCCCTCCAAACTACCTAACCCTCTGGTCCTGGCTTTCTGCACAGCTCAGCTCCTTCCTATCCACTACCCATGTCTATTTGTCTTTCAAACATTTCCTCTGTCATCTACCATACACCAGCCCTGTTCCTTCACTTACCTGCCTCTGTGGTCCACCTGCCTCCCTGCTCACCCACCATCCCTCTACTCCTGCACTCTGCCTGACACCAGCTTTTCCCTCCTGCTCCCATTTGCGAATCACCTGGTTCCTTTTGTCTCCCTTCTAGCAATCATCCTGGAACCCTGTTGAACCACTAGCCCGCCTGCCCTTGCCCATACGTTGCCCATATATCCCCAAACCCTACTCACGGAGCATCTGTATCCCTCTACCATTCTTGTACTCTTGCCCTTCACCATTACTTCCACTATCTCTGTATTCCCCCATGCTACCCTGTTGTGCTACCACCCGTGCCTCCCAGAGGGGAGAACTATGGTTCGAACACAGGCTATACTTTTCTAAGTCTGTAGTACTAATCCTTCCTCTGTCTTACTCCCTGTTTCCTTATGATCATGACTATTCCCTGGGCCTCATTTTCCATCTCCAGATAGTGAGGCTGATCAAGTAGCTAAAATGAGCCATCATGCCCCTGTCTTATCCCCCTGCCTGTCCTTACTTACTATCCCCCGGGACTCTAGCTTTTCCTTCCCCAGGGTACTCAGGGAGCTCAAGACTCCTTGTCTGTCCTCTGTGGTACTATCTAAAATGATGAAAGGCTACAGGTGAAACTTGTTAGGAGCTCACAAATCACCCCAGCTCTGTCCTGGCCCCTGACTCTGGCTTCTTGCTATGCACCCTTCAGCCAGTACTCACGTATGACAACATAGCACAAGGGCCAGTGCAGAACTATGAGACTCTGGAAGTGCTTAGGCTGCTTGAAACAAGACATGATGCCCAGGAGACTGACAGAAGCGAAGATCCCCGAGCAGTGTTCCAACCACAGGTGACACCAGCCTCCAGAAGCTCCCTCACTGGTGACCAGGAGGCTTTTCACCTGCTCTCTTCCCTTCTTGTTCTGTCCCACACCTCCCACCCACTTCAGGGGCCGGGACTTCAGAGCCTGAGCCATGGACACTGCCCATTTGCCCTTTGACTCTCTCTTCTGGGATTATTGAGACATCAGGATGGAGGAAGTTGACAAGGACTGCCATCTAGTCCTGGTGACCCAGAGATCCAGAGAAGGGAAACATCTCTCACAGGCTACTCCAAGACTATGGGCTTTGTGAGCTCAAGGAGATGGCTGGTGAGAAGGGAGCTCTGGAGGTTTGTGGGGGTGGGGAGCCCTTAGGAGTATGTCTCTGTTGGCACAGAATGTTGACCTGAGGCAGTTGGGTTTGAGGCTGTCTCCCTCTTTTAATTTGCTATTATAAAAATTTCTGCACACACACAAAACTAGAAAATGCAACACAATTTTACCTTTGTGTTCATCTTCAAGCTATTAATATTTTGCCCTACTTGTTTTACCTATTTCTCCACCTTTTTTTTTTCTTGGAGTATTTTTAAGCAATTCTAAGACATGTCATTTCATCCCTAAATGCTTCACTATGTATCAACAAAAATATGGATTTTCCTTCCATAACAACGCCACTACCACCTTTAACAAGTTTACCAATTCTCTAATAACATCTAAGAGCCAGTCCATATTCAATATCTCTTTACAGTTGGTTAATTTGAATCAGGATTCAAATAAATCCACTGGTTATAACTGAATGCTATGTCTCTTAAGTCTCTCTGTCACTCTCTCCCCTATCTCCTCTCTCTAATTTTTTTGTTGTAAAATAAAACCCCGATATAGAAAACTACCTAAAACTTAATGAATTGTTGTAAGAGAAACACCTTGCAGCCACCACTAAGTCAAGAAATAAAACTTTTCCACTCACCCCAGAAGCCTCTCCCCATGCCCCATTTCAATGACAATTCTCTTCCTCTTCCCAAACTACCATTGCCCTGCATTACCCTGACATTTAGAGTAATTTTTCCCCAGCCTTTCCCTTTTTTTGAGATGCTATTTATATATTTTTAGAGGGAGGGAAAGGGAGGGAGAAAGAGAGAGAGAGAAACATCAATGTGTGATTGCCTCTGGCGCACCCCCCCCCCCCACTGGGGACCTGGCCTGCAACCCAGCCGTGTGCCCTGACTGGGAATCAAACCAGTGACTCTTTGGTTTGCAGGTCCACACTCAACCCACTGAGCCACACCAGTCAGGACTTCCCTGGCCTTTCTATGATTACCTAAAAGCACTTGCCTAATGACTATGGTTTAGTCTTGCCCACGAAAAAAAATTGAGATGTTTCTTAAATTTTCTCTTTTTTAAATCTTTGACTTTGGAATAACTTTAAACATATGGGAGGGTTGCAAAGATAATATGGAGAGTTCCCTATACCCTTTGCCTAGCTTTCCCTTGTTGACATCTTATATAACCATAGTAGAGCTATCAGAGCTAAGGAAGTAGTACTGGCACATTATTTACTGTTCATTCCAGACTTTGTTTACTCCAGACGATTCAAATTGCACTAGTTTTTCCTACTAATGTTCATTATCTGTTTCAGAATTCCATCAAGTCCTACACTGTATTCAGGCATCATGTGTCCTTAGTTTCCTCCAATCTGTGACAGTTCCTGGGTCTTTCCTTGTGTTTTATGACTGACACTTTGGAAGAGTTTAAGTCTTGTTTTTTTTAAAGATTTGTTTGTTTGTTTCTAGAGAGAGGGGAAAGGAAGAAGAAAGAAAGGGAGAGAAACATCAGTGTGTGGTTGCCTCTTATGCAACTCCTACTGGGGACCTGGCCCACAACCTAGGCATGTGCCCTGACTGGGAATCAAACCAGCAGCCCTTTGGTTCGCAGATTGACACTCAATCACTGAGCTACGCCAGCCAGGGCTGTCTGTTTTGATGTACAGGTTCCTCCTTAATAATATCTTTTCCTGATAACATCTGCTGGAGAACCTATGGCGTCTGACCTGGAGCATTTCCCACAGCCCAGACTTTGCTTACTACATGCTCATGGTGCACTTCAGCAGGTTCCTGGGTAGTATTTCTTGTGGATTGGCAGTTGGGTCCAAAGACTGAATCAGACCCAGGTTTCAGCTCTTTGGCTTTTAATACAGAACAGTTCCCCTTCCTAAACTCTTTTGTTCACCATGCCATTGACCTACTGAAGAATGTTCTCACTTGGAGTAGGCCAGTCTTCCTGGCTTTAGCACCAGTTCCCATGAGCAGGGATTGGGAGTGTGGAACCTGGTTCAGGGTTGAGTCCCAAACACAGGCCAAAGTGGGAGGAGGAACAAAGACCCATTCCTTTCTCTCTGACTCCTGTCTCTTACCTTGTCGTAACTTTATGCTTACTGAAGCACATTGGGTTGTGGGAGTTGTTTTCTGGGTTTTTTTGGTGGGTTTTTTTGTTTGTTTGCTTTTACTTTTCACACCTGAAGACTGTATGCTTCTAAAAGAGTGTGGACCACATTTTATTGTCAGTGCACCTGCCCCTAATGCCTAGAAAGTCCTAGGCCTTTGGTAAGTGGGAATCTTAATTTGAGGTGAGTGATCAAGATGGTTTCTTACGAGTAACGTGATCATAGGAATCTCATGGAGAAATGTGTCCCAGAGACTTCAGCAGGGGACAAGAGGATGCACAGAAATACAGGGAAAGGGACACAATACAAAAGAGGAGAAGAAGAATGAGAGAAAGGAAGGCAGGTACTGACCTTTGAGTCAGTTTGGCAAAAGACAAAGCTCTGCTTATTTTGCCTCCCCTTACACCTAGGGGCCTGCCCCACTTCTGTTGTTTCTGCTGATTGGGTACCAGACTGGCCCTCCAGCAAATAAATGTCAGCGCTCAGGTATTGCAGCATCTCTGCCCTACTTAACTGTTGACATCCCTGTGGTTGATGTTGGAGACAGGTTCCTGGTAATACAGGGGAGATGAGCATTCTGCCTTTTCATGATACAATTTTCTGGGCCTATATCAACTCCCTTGCCATCTTCTCTCATCTTTGTAAATTGTCTTCTGCAAGACTGCTCCAGGGTTAACTTTCAATAATATGTGCTTTTTCAGGTTTTTATTCCCTCTGTTTCCTCCTGCCCCTCCCTCCCCATAAAAAAGGAAGTAAGTTGTTGAGAAGACACTCAAGCTACAGAAAGTTAACCTATACATAACATTTTTTTTCTCCTGGCAGGTGATCCCATCCCTTCCTTTTGTGTTTTAATGCTTGAAATGTCATGGACTTCCACATGATAATAGTTGTATTTTTAAAATTCATTGATTGATTAAATATATAGCAAACTGAAAGGCTATGGGTGCACACCATGGATGCATACATCATGACATTTGAAAAAAACATATGTAGAAGCATATTATGTATTCATTCTAGACAATGCTTGGGTCATGTAGAAATTTCCAGAACCCTAGTAATGAAGTTACTCCCCCCACCTGTCAGCAGTCTGCTTGCTGCCTACTGGTTGGAAGCAATGGCTTATTTGCTTTTTTCAAAATGGAAATCAATTTATTGTTTTTTCTGATTACAAAAATAATCCATATAAATTATAAACATGTCAGACTAGTCAGGAAAGCATAACAGAAACAAAAGTAAACCACAATCTCACCACTCAGAAATAACCACTGTTAACTGTCAACTGTCACCATCCTGGTATCTCTCTTTCTTCACGTTTTCTTCTGTATAAATATGTCTGTAGACATAGATATACTTCACTGTGAAGAGTTTGGACTCTTGACGTCAACACATCTAGGTCTGTATTTCAGCTTTGCCTCAAGTGAATGATGGCAAATTACTTAACTTCTTAGTGCCTCAGTTTCCTCATCTGTAGAAGGATGAATATAATATCTCCCTACATCATAGGGTTGTCATGAGGATAAAGTAATTAATGTAAAGCACTTTACTCATATGCTTTATATGAGTAAAGTATCTTGCTTATACTTATATTTGAAGCTCAGTAAATGCTAGTTATTATGTATAATTTGTACATATGTATAATTTATTAACCAAAATGAAATCGCATTCTTTTTAAAATATTTTATTTATTTATTTTTAAAGAAAGGGGAAGAGAGGAACATCAATGTGTGGTTGACTCTCGCACGACCCCTACTGAGGGCCTGGTTCACAACCCAGGCATGTGCCCTGACTGGGAATTGAACCTGCAACCCTTTGGTTCACAGGCCGGTGTTCAATCCACTGAGCCACACCAGCCAGGGCTGGAATCTCATTCTTTATACTGCTTGGTGACCTACTTTTTCACCTAACAGTATATGATCGATATTTTTATGTCAATTTTCTTCTGTAAGATTATACAGAGTATTTTATTGTATGGATATGCCATGATTCGCTCAACCAATCTCCTCTTATGGAGGAAGCACTAATTTTTAGACATGCTCCTTCCACCACCTGCTCAGATTTCTAGGTCTTTAATGGTCAGTGAAAGGTCACTGATCAGAAACTCTCACCCATGGCTCTTTCTGTGGCACTGCTCAGTTTCCTCTCTCCCAGAAGGTTTCAGGATTTACTGGTACAAACAGTAGGACACTTCCTCAAGCCTCCATTAACCTGGGCAGGGTTTGGGGAGCAGGTAGCCTTGTCAGCAGAATTGGACCCTCTCTCCAAGGAAATGACTGAGTCTGAAAAGAGCATTTGAGCCTCTTCTTCAAACAGGTCCAGAGACAGGTTTCATGAAGGCCCCTCAAATTCTACTAGACCTGGAAGTGCTATTGCATAGATTCACCTTGGCTCAAGTTGAGGGAACATTGAAATGTAAGTGTAGAAAATGAGACTTGTTAGCTTTGGATCACAGAGATCAGGCTCTCCCCTAAAAAAGCTAGGGTCAGAAATCTGTTTTGTCACCATATTGGTTCATATGCTTTCATATTGCTTTCTTTTGGAGAAAAACAATTAATCAGTTGTCATCTAAACTAAAGGTGACAGTGATTGCAATTTCCTAGGCC